GTCTGCAACACAAGCAAGCCAGGTTAGCCATGCAAAGAAAGGAGTTCAAAGGGCTGGGGCTGTCACTCAGTAGTAGACAGCATGCTGCAGGTCCAAAGTTCAAATTCCAGTCTTCCAGTTCTGAACTGCCCCCACCACACCACACACACACACACACACACACACACACACACACACACACACTGATGTTTAAGAACAGGTTTAGGCAGGAATGATATGTGAGCATGGGACTCTGGGGACAGGGACTGTCCTGTATACTGTGATGGGAAGAGGGTAGTTCCTTGTTTGTTAACATCTATAGAATGCACAACACCAGGACGGAGCCATAGTGTAAACTGCACAGTGGGTGAAATGTGTCGGCAATGGCCTGCCATCTGGACAAACACACCACCCTGATGTGGATGGGAAGATGCAGGAGGCTGGAGGGAAGGTGGAAAGTGTTTGCTGCAGTGAATTCTATGAAGAAAGAAAAGGAAGGAAAGGGCACTGGGGAGGGGGAGTGAGGCACAAGAAGCAGCAGCCCAGGTGTGCAAGAACCCAGCAGCCGCCGCCAGGTAAGTGATGCCAGGCTACTGTGGTAGCAGAAGCCATGATGGGGGCCCAGGAAACTGACACACTGGCCATCATAAAAGTAAAGCCTTTAAAAAAAAAAAAAAAGCTGGCACCCGTGTTTAATCCCAGCTCCTGAGAAGCAGAGGCAGGGGCAAGGGCAGGGGCAGGGGAGGGGGCGGGGGACAGGAGCAGGGGAGTTGGCTCAACTTGTAAAAACACTAGCTACAAAAGCCTAGCAACCTGAATTTGACCCAGAACCCACATAAAAAGCCTGATGGGGGTGGGGACGCATCTGTGATTCCAGCACTCCTAAGGCCAGACGGGAGATGGAAACAGCAGAATCATCCCTTGGCTTCTTTGGACCTGCCTAATTTCTTGTAGACTTTAGACTTGTGTCATTTTTCCAAGCCTTGTTTCAGAAACTTACTGGCCAGTAAGCCTGGAGCACCCAGCATAGGGACAGAAATAAGAGAGACCCTGATGCAACAAGGTAAAAAGAAATCCTCCGGCCTCCAGATGTGTTCACACTCTCTCCCTCTTCTCTTCTCTCCTCTCCCTCTCCCTCTCCCTCTCCCCCTCTCTCTGTCACACACACATACACACACAGAGAGAGACAGAGACAGACAGAGAGAGACAGAGAGAGGTTGAGAAATCCAATACTTTAATAGTTTCCTGAAGACACTGATGCATAGTTAAAGTAAACGGAGTCTGGAAACCACAGTGCTGAGGTCACACTCGCTGCCCCACCCACTCCTCGTCCTCCTAGGTCAAGGGTGCTTCCTGTTTGGTAAAGTAGGGAAGCAACCATAGCTCCAGTCTGAACCACCCACCACACATCAACACGTATAATTTTAGAATAAGGAATGCGCAACTTAAAGCCAACTTCTAGAAAGCTCTGAGGGAAATAATAACTGATAAAAGGAGAAACCATATAAGACCCAGAACAAGTATAAACCAGTTCAACTACAGGCTTATAAAGCAATAAAGGTAATGGCATGCACACTCCAATCTTAACCCACCTGTGGATGCTACACTGGAAAAAGATGCTTGCCTAACAGAGTGGTCCTTTAGCTGTAAACGCTGTTAACTGTCTCCGACTGCAATCTGAGCAGCAGTGGGGTGAGGGGATGCGACACACACAGACACAGACACAGACACACACACACACTCTACTATCACAGGTAAAAGCACGGTCCTCATCTGGAGTAGAATCCCAAAGAGAAACAGGTATTTCCCTTATCTTCTGCAAAGATCACCTCTCTAAGAAATACAAAGCCTGTCTTGGAGCTAGACTTTAAAGACAGCCATGTCATAACTCCAAGGCCCACAAGTTGATAATGAGTAGTCCAACCCAGGGACACCAGAGCCAAGGAGAACCCCTGATTCTGTGAGTCAGGCCTGTTCTCAGACCAATCACCAAAAGCAAAGGTCAATGGAAGCAGAGGTGCACATGTGCTTGCTGCAGGACGGGCTGACCAGGCAACTCTGGACCTTCTGAGGAGCTGGACAAGCACACAGGACTCCAACTTTCTTCCTGTTACACTCAGTTGGCAAGACTAGGAGCCTCTAATCTGGGCAAAGGGGAGCAGACCCGGTGAGGAAAGAAGAAAGGCTTGGGTGTTGGAAATGATATCTGAAATACCACTCAAATGATAGCGGGACAAGGTCTTAGTGAACACATACGAGACTGGCCATGAGTGATCACTAACGGCAGACATAGAACACGTGCAGTTTAATTTCTCCATTTTCTCCACTATTATGTTTGAAATGTTTCACTGTAAAAATAGCACACATTCGTTATAGAAATCTAGACAAATATAAAAAACTTAAAACCACCAAGGGAAAAAAAAACCATTATAATTCTATACCCTAAAAATATTGCTATTGTTTTCTGCTTGATTTCCAGTATTTTCTTTCTTTTCCATGAGTGTGCACACATGCCACGACAGCAGTCAGAGGACAACTAGAGGGAGCCGGTTTTCTCCTTCCATTGAGCAGGTTTATAGGATCCAGGCTTGGCAATACATCCCTCTGCCTATTGGGAATATCACCAGACCATTTTTCTTTCTTATATTTGCCAAATAGGCTCTCTCTAGCCACAGTGGTCTTTAGCCTGCCTTCAACAGTCCACTCTGAATTTTTCTTTGGCATTGTTCAAATGGCTAAAGGTTCTGTTTGTTTGATTGATTTTTGAGACAGGGGGATTTTGTTTTTTATGTAGTGCTGGCTGTCCTAGAACTCGCTTTATAGACAAGGTTGGAACTCACAGAAATCTGTCAGCCTCTGGCCTCCAAGCACTGAGATTACAGGTGTGCACAGCCATGCCCGGCCCTAAAGATTTACTAAAGATATTTAATGGTATGATTTTGTTGCCTAGTTACTCACCAAAAGCTAGCCTACGATCTATTGTTAACATTTTTGCTACAATAGGAAAGTCTGAGGGAAACGACATTTATCAAAAAATAGTATCATTTCAGATGATAGAGAAATGTCTTAGCACATGTCTACACATAACTTCATACCACAGAGGTGGAGGAAAGATAAAGAGAAATCGGTGGCTCACAGACTGCATAATTCTAAACAATTATTAACTTTTTCTGTGGCAAAGGCCATGGTGAAATGTACAACAGGTTTAAGGCTGACACAGGCCCACACTGTGCCTCTCTGTTGATGAGAACTCACCAAGTTCAAGCAATGTGCTCAGAAATGTGCTAGAGGGCTCTGTAATACTGAACTTCAACGGGTGGACTATTCTACCCATTCCAGATGGCACAGGGCGAGTCTGCAGGCACAGGGGTAGCTCTAGCTTCTCCCCAGACCAGGCAGGAGTAATCCCAGCACTTAATGTGGTCTTCATCTAAAATTACTAGTGCTGGACTTGGCCTGTGACTGAGTTTTTCTTCCACCTACACAGCCTTAAAGACGACTTCCCCAATGAAAATCCAACAGATTCTCTGGGTAAAGAGGTAAGGGCAATCTTATACTTTTTTCCCTACACTATTTGTCCCCTGACAAAATGTAGGATGTGGTTGAATGTCTGTGAAGACATTGCCTTTTCAGTCAATATCTGAACGCCAGTTTAAAATAAAAAAAAGTGATGAAGAGTACGGGCCATAAACTATATTTTATGACACATGGGATTCAGGGATGAGTACATTATAGCTGTGTTCCATCTGGCCTTCAGACTGCTGAAGAAAACACCAGGAACCTCTGAATTAGACCATGTGTTACTGGCCAGTAGCCACCCAGATGGGAAATGAGAAGCCACTGTGACCTCCCACTCTGAAGGAGTCCCCAGGCCTTAACAGTGATACAGAGGCAGAGCCCTGCTGCTTTCTAAGTCTTCTCCTTCCCCTTCTCTGTCTGGGGTCTGACAGTAACATCAGAGATGAAACTGTGGCTTTCTCATCCATGTCAAAGGCAGACTAGAAAGGAAAGTGAGTTTAGGACAAACCTGGCAAACACACTCAGAAACTCCAGTGCTGATCACCGGGAAAGCAAACAGCAGCTACTGTGTGTGGCCTTGAAGCTACGCTCTAATCTCTTCCCCTGACCTGCCAAACATTTAAAGATCACTCCACCACTAATGAACTCCCATAGATTTTTAAAACCACGTTACCAGAGGCTGGAGAGATAGATGCCTTGGTGTTTAGAGCATTCTCTGCTCTTCCAGAGGACCCATGTTTGATTCTTAGTCACTCACAAGGAAGTTTTCAACTGTCTGTAACTCCAGTTCCAAAGACTCCAAGGCCCCTTCTTCTGGCCTCTAGGAATGCCGGCCATGAATGTATACTTACATACATGCAGGCAAAAAAATCTCATACATACAACATTTTTAAACACATAAATAAATCTTTTTTTAAAAGAATGCATTGCCAGTGTGGATGCTCTACACAGAGCTTACTGAAAACTGCTAACCTTATGCACAGAGACCGGGAAGATGAACCAAACCATACGGCACACATGCTTCAGTAATGAGCTTGGAATAATTAATCTTTTATTGTTGCTATTAGGCTTTTTTGACAGTAGAAAATTATTTTAACACTAAGTTGTTATCTGCATTACATTTATATATTTCTCCAAGTTGGGAACTGCTCAAAATCAAAGTTTGTTTCTGATTGAAATCTCTGCCCTCCCTCTGGATTCACACATCCCAGAGAAACAGGAAAAACATGGGCATGCAACCAAAGACTTTGGGGGATTCTATTTCAGCTGAACTCCCCAGTAATGCAATCTTTAAGGTTAAAATGACTAGGAAAAAAAAAAAGCTGATGCATAAACACAGAACAGCTGTCTGTCTGGCAAGGACACTACCCTATTGCACAGAGCCACACCCCAACACAAGCTCAACTCATCCCAAGTCTAGCTGATGTGATTTCCCCAAGGTGCAGCTGAGCTCTGCCTCTGATGTAAGAGTGGATGGGAGCTACAGGCTTGGGCGGCCTTACCTTGCAGACAGCTGCCTGGAGGACAGCATCAAAGCCTCCCTCGGGGGCATCTCGGTTCCTGGACACTCTCTGCTTCCTCACTTCCTCGTTAAAACTGTCGACTCTGTCTGTGAGAGGCAGAAGATGGCGGAATCCGAAGGAGGGGACACAGTTGGGGAATAACTTGTAACTAGAAAGAAAGGAGAGAAAGGTGGATTTTCCATCACCATCTGTAAAGCCTTTTCAATTTTTAAAAAAGATCCATTTATTTATTTTATGTATATGATTACACTCTGTAGCTGTCTTTAGACACACCAGAAGGGGGCATCGGATCCCATTACAGATGGTTGTGAGCCACCATGTGGTTGCTGGGAATTGAACTCAGGACTGTTGGAAGAGCAGTCAGTGATCAGCCATCTCTCCAGCCCCTACCTTTTCAATTTTTAATTACATTACATTTTAGTGTGCATGTATGCACACACATACACACACATACACACACATGAAGAACAATTTGCAGAGATCAGTTCTCTTCTATCAAGTGGGTTCTGGGAATCAAACTCAGCCATCTTGATGGTCCCATCTCTAAATATTAATCATATGTCCTGGCCTTCACTAAGTACCTTGAAAAATGTCAATTAACACCTACACTTACTCTGGGATAAGCCTAGTGGAAAGAACAAAACCAAATAGCTCTAAACAGCCAGCCCTCACTTCAGGCACACAGCCAGACCATGGAAGTGTGCAGACAATGGCTCAAAGAACTAGAGGTCACAGTAGACTCTATGGCTGGGGGAAGATTTGATGCGGGCCTTGGAAGATGAGTGGGACTGGGCACAATCAAGGACAATGGCCAGAGAGAGCACACAAGCAGGACTCTGGGTAGCCAGCTTTTTCTCATCAAACTATGCTGCTGCTGGAAGACAAAGGATCCACTGGTAACTACCAGGCTGTGCTGGCACAAGAAGAGATCCAGAATGGAACAGGAATTACAGACATTCTTCTGCTCTATCAAGCATTCATTCATTTATTGCAATGATAAAGTGTCCAACTGCCAGGGAAATCTAGACTTCTTCAAATGGGAAAAGACAGACATGTCAAAAACTTTCAGGGGATGCGGGAAGCCCTAAGTGGCCCCTTTCCTAGAGAAAGTAGTTCCAATGATACTATCAAACTGGGCAACGACACAGGAAGAGATGCCTTTAAATGGATCCTTGGGATACAGGAAGCGAGGGCAGAGTGTCGCAGCCAGAGAAAAGACCGTTAACACCATGTGGAGAAAGGAGACAGAGGAAGGCCAGTGGGCCGGACGCAGTGTAAACTGGACAGACCTGCAGGATCTGTGGGCTGGTAAAAGAGGTCTCTCTTCAGAAAAACAAGTGTTGACAGAAAGGCCTAGGAGAAAGGCTTTAGAATCCCATTCAAGCTGTGCCTGGGAGGGGAAACAGGCTTAGCAACTGCTAAAGGTCCTGCCTTGCCCTCACTGCTGCCAAGACCGCCCCACCAGGACGAGCCTAGGCAGGTTCCTCTCTGCAGAGAGGCAATAGTCACAAGTGCTGCACAGACCTCACAAGCTGCTGGAGACAGATCACACTCCCTCCCCGAACACACACACAGATCACACTCTCTCCCCCAACACACACAGACACACGCACGCACTCACGTTCCCAGTCCACCCCAGAGACAGTTCTTTCTCTCCAGTTAGTCCATCCCTGTAAGCTTCTCCTTGGTCTCCCTCCCTCCCCATGTCCTCACAAACAGCTCCTGCTTAGACAGGTCAGCTGTTTATAAATCTGAGCCTCAGGCCACCCTGAGATTTTGTGTAGCCTTCTCATTTTGTACAGAAACAAGTATGGACATTACATTCCTATAGGAAGGAGTTGAGGCTCCACCCACACCTCCATGACAGATAGGCCCCGAGAGGAGGGAAACATATTGCAACTGCATCCAACTTTTCCTCCAAACTCCTATTTCCCTTCTGTTGTTCTGGGCCACCGTTTGGAACCTTGAGTAGGTATGTATTTGTTGTGACAGTTGGAGGAGAGACTGCATAACTGCTATGAAATGAGAAACCAGATCTATGGAAACACAGCGACCGATCCTCAGTGTTCACACCCCCTTCACCCCTGCTCCTTCACTCCTGCCTCCCTTCACCCCTGCAAACAGCATGAGCAGACCCACTCTTCTTACAGTGTAATTAAGAACCAGAAAGTGTGATTGCTGGACACATGTCGGAACTACAGGCAATGTGCTGTAGCCTAGTCAGCGATACCTCTTCTTGGCACCACACAGACACTGGGAAGGTCTCCACCGTCACTAGAACAGCACGTCACCTGTGATCATATTTCTGGCTTAGTTACTCCTTGGAGTTGCTCCAGAATGGCCTGGATATCTGTTTTAGAGTCTCCTGCCAGGAGAACAACCCCTCACACACTGTGTCTGTGTTATGGAATCCCAGTTGAGGGACATTCATAGAACTACTGATTATTAACTAGGAAGATAAGAATTCCAGGAGGGAAATTGGATGGTGGTGGCAGATGCCTTTAATTCCAGCACTCAGAAATTAGAGACAGGAGGATCTCTGTGAGTTCCAGTCCAGCCTAGTATACAGAGAGAGTTCTAAGACAGCCAGGGCCCTGTCTTAGAAACTTAGAGAAACCCTGTCTTAAAAAACTAGGAGGGGGAGATATCTATATCTATATCTATATCTATATCTATATCTATATCTATATCTATATCTATATCTATATCTATATCTATATCTATATCTATATCTATATCTATGTTAGAGAGACAGCCACTGTGACTGAATGCTACAAAAGATCAAGGGGTGAGACCCAAGGGTCCAAGGGTTTTCTATGCTTGGTCTGAAAAGAAGCATAGGCTTGCAGCTGGTTCTAGAAGGAGCCCAGGAGAGCCAAGGGCTATCTGGATGCTACTAAGAGCTATAGTACTAAGCCAGTAATGAAATCTCCAACCGCCACGGCAGCCTATAAAAGAGGCAAAGGTGTTTACTATCCACTGCAGGCAAAGCAAGACAGAAAAATGAGCAGCTAAGAACATACGGCTCGTGCAGAGGGCCTAAATTCACCTCCAGATCTAAGTGATCTAATGTCTCTGAGCTCCGTAAGCCCTTATCTCCCTCCCTCTCCTTCTCTCTCTCTCCCCTTCTCTCTCTCCCTCTCTCCTCCCCCCCCCCCCAGACAAATAAATTTTTAAAAGGAGAAGAGCGGGAACCTCACATAAAAATCACTATAGGGCTAAAGACAGGCTCAATAGTTAAGAGAGCTGCTCTTCCAGCTTGCTTGGTTCCAGAGGATCCAAGTTCAGTTCCATCACCCACATCAGGCAGCTCAGGGCTGCTTTGTTACTCCAGCTCCAGGGGATCCAATGGTCTCTTCTGGCCTCCTTGGGCACACATACACATACATAAAAAATATACAAACAGACATGCATATGTAGTGTATTCGTAATAATGCATATGCGTTATTACGAATTTATCTCTTACAGTCTAAGAGACTGAAACTTTTGCTGGACCTCAACTCCCAGTAAATAATACACCTTGAAGTCACTTCAGACCTAAGACTGCTGTCCTACTGTGTGCTCAGCCTGTTTGTTTAACCTGCCTTTAAGGGAACAATGGAACACCCAGCCTTGCATGCCTTGGGTTTCCCATGACACCAACTCTTATGCTACTGTACAGCGGCAATCAGTTTGTTTGGTTAGTTTGGTTTTTTTTCAAACCAGGGTTTCTCTCTGTAGCCCTGGGTGTCCTGAAACTCTCTCTGTAGACCAGGCTGGCTTCAAAGTCATAGAGATCCTGCCTCTGCCTCCTGAGTGCTGGGACTAAAGGTGTACGCCATCACTGCCCGGCGCACAGTTGCAATCCTAAGTCATGTGCTCTTCCACACCTCTGACCCGGACAATGCACGTGTATCATTTGTTGAAAAGAACAAAAATAGAGTTTAAAAGCCAAAAGGATATAAAAGAATATCCATCATAAATATTGAATATAACATTTGGATATTACTTGATCAACAATGTTTTCGATACTGTTTATTATCTCAGTCAGTTGGAGGCAATGACTTAATCCCTTGCAAAATTCTATTAAAATACACCTCTCCTCTCTAGGCTTGGGTGTGGGTTCTGGCAACAGGGCTAAATACACCAAGAAGGTTGGGATTGGGAAATAGGGGACCCACTGTGGGGCCTCTCTCAGCCAGCAAGCTAAGTACCCCTGCTACCTTCTGTGGCAAGACCAAGATGGAAAGCTAGGCTGCTAGCAGCTGGCACAGTGGCTGGCAAGGCTTGGACCCACACCACCAGCTCTATGGTCAGTCACGTCTGCTATCAGAAAGACGGAAGAACTGAAATCCCAGGAGGTGCTTGCCTCATCTCTCCCTCCCTCCCCATGAAACACTTCACTTCCTGTGCTGTTCAATAAATACACAGTAATACAGAGCAAAACCAGACACACACCAGATGCAAAAGACAGACAGAGAAGCAGGGACAGATTCACAAGAGAGTTTCAGGCAGGCACAGACCCAGACTCATATGACAGACAGACAGACAGAGGACAGATAACACAGAGAACAAAAAGTATAGAATTCAAATCTGAGCTTTCTCTTGACACCAGGAAGTGCTTTATCTCTTTCCTTAAAGGGACACCAATACATTACCGGTGACTCAGAGTTTATCACACACACACACACACACACACACACACGAGCATACATATACATAAATTTAAAAATGTATGTATGTATCATATACCCCTTATATCTAGGTGTTGTGGAACTAGAAAAGGGCATCACACTCTAAGGAACCAGAGTTGCACGCAGTTGTGAACTGCCCAGTGTTGGGTGCTGGGAATCAGCCCCAAGTCCTCTACAAAAAGTAAACGTAAAAAGTTACTCTAGGGGGCTGGAGAGATAGCTCAGAGGTTAAGGGCATTGGCTGCCCTTCCAGAGGACCTGAGTTCAATTCCCAGCAACCACATTGTGGCTTAGAACCATCTGTAATGGGATCTGATGCCCTCTTTTGGTGTGGAGGCATACATGTTGACAGAACATTATACATAGTAAATAAATCTTTAAAAGTCACTCTAGACCTTGGTGATGAGAATTTACAACTTTTATGATGAAAGAACCCTCAGCCAAGAAATTAACAGGAAAACCTGTCCTGCTGTTAACATGGAAGGTTCCTGATGATAGCAAAGATTAAAACTGCTCTGTGGAAAGCCAGGACACCAGGGGCATATGGTCCTCGATGGAAAACAGCCTCCAATGAAGATGAGCTAATGAAAACATTTCACACCACGTGAGAGGCTAAGAGCCCAAAGGAATGTCAGCAAACCTCACACTCAAGAACAGAATGCTCTGACTCCCTAAGACGAGGATTTTTGAAACAGTCAAAAAGAGGAAGGAAAGACAGCCAAAAGCCAGAAGGGAAATTACTAGAAAATTAAAAACAAACAACAAAAACTAAACGTTTTCAACAACAAAAAATAGTATCTAAAACACAAGGGTTTGAGAAAACGACCAAGTAACAATTATAGAAAGGAAAAATACAGTCACAGGGGTCCAAACTGTTTCAGTATACAGATTAAACTAAAGAACAAGATTGTAACCTGGAGGGATTTCTATTATGTAGCTGGGGGTGGGGCTGCATGTGGAAAAATAAGAAACATGGAATTTAGGCTGAGAAGCTCCAACTGCCACCTACTAGCAGATAAACACAGAGACAGCAGGAGAGATTAAACAATCACACAGACACTGTTAGAACCTCCCAGACTCAGAAGAAGCTCTGAACAATGTGAACCACAGTAACTCCCGCCCAGACACAGTCAGAAGCATGAGACGCAGCACACAGCGGAGACAAGGATTAGATAAACAGAGCTTGTGACTTCAGCCACAGTGGTGACAGAGACAGTGGGAATGACACCAAGGGAGCAAAGGGACACTGTGGCTTCTGGGGAAACATACTCAAAGGGTAAAAGTGTATAAATAGCGATGGAGATGATTTTACATGAATTATCTTGATGACAGCTCAATCAAAGAAAAAGTCCCACAACTAGCAATAGAAAATAGGAGGTCAGCAAGTACTGGGGCTTCCTAGAGATGCTCTGTGAGTCATCATCAAACTGCTCTTCAATCTGATACTTGCATGACTTTTTTTCTCCCCAGGGCAAGCATGATACTTTTTCAGACTTAATGTTTCTGGTGTATTTTATACCAAGTGGAGAAAAACCTAGAAATTCTGGTTATCTGTGGCTAATCGTTTTTTTAGATGTCAGTAACTTAACTCATGGGACCTTTAAAACAGGAAAGCAAACAACGAGTGTGTTGTCCCAGGCCAGGTGTGGGATAGCTAGATTACAGGCCCTGGTTTGTACTGTCCCACCCAAGTTGCAAAGAGGAATCTCTCTAGGGAGACTCGGGACCCCAGGATGGGAAGGCTCAGTCTGTTCCCCAGAGCTGAAGTGTGTCTTGGTACTTCCTGGCTTACAAAAGAGAGATTTACATGACTTAGATTTGGAGTTTCCTTTCTTACACTCTTTCTTCACTGATTTCCTGTCTTAGGAACAGCTTTTCAGAGTGCTCAGTGCTCTGGGTCAAGAACAGCACTATTAGCTACAGTTTCTGCCCGGAGGGCTTCAAGTAGGAAGTCTGAATATCTATGTGCAATAGCCTTGGCTATTTGGATGCTAAACACCCAAACCAAGCCTTGATCCTCTGCCAGCTCCCTGTCCAGCAGCTGTGTGAGTGCAGACATACCCTGTCTGACTAAAGTCGGTGCCCAATCAGGGCAGGGACAGAGAGGAGTGAATGGGATTACTGTTCGGATAAATCCAAAAACTGTTTTGATTGAGATGCTGTTGTTCCCAGTAAGTAGCCAAATGCCAACAATAAAACACGTGGCCTGGGACTAGCTGAAAGTGACCTTGGAGACTTCGGACCACTAATCTTAACCTAGTTTATGTGGCTCACCCTACCTGTGGCTAGAAGAAGCCACACCCAGCAAATGACAAAATGTGGCTCTTTATGCTTAAGGAGCTTTGAATACATCTGTATTTAAAACTGTTTATCTTACTGTTTTTTTTTCCTTCTTATGGTTTGTTTGTTTGTTTGTTTGTTTGTTTGTTTGTTTGAGATAGGGTTTCTCTGTGTAGCTCTGGCTGCCCTATAACTTCCTTTATAGACCAGGCTGGCCTCAAATATCCGCCTGCCTCTGCCAGGATTAAAGGCATGCGGCATGCGCCACGGGCTGCCATGCCTGGCTTATCTTACTGTTTTTCAATCTTTATGTTGATTTCTGACCCCTGAGGAGGATCTAAGCCAGCATAGAAGATTGAAACTCACAAGACAAGGGAGACTCAGAACACAGGCTGCTGGGGATATCACCACCTCACCCAACACCCACCCTAGCTTGGAGCTGGGGGCTGTTTGGGCCACAAAGTGTAGAAAGAAATAGGCCTGGGGTCTTTAAAAAGAACACCTTCCCACTCACCCACTTCCATGGCAGCAGGAAACTAAGAATCAAACTGTTATCCTAACATGGAAGAAGCCTGGATCCTGGAAGAAGAGGTGCCTAGAGTCCACATCATTCAGCCATCCTCAGATTTTGTACAAATGAGGACGCTTTGTAGATATTTAGCTGTGGACATTTGGGGACTTCTTACTTGCAGACTTAGGTGAACTCTGACTTGCTGGGCTTACAGGAGTTTGGGAATTCCCAGTCACTTAGCCTCAGATAAAGTATCTTGGATGGCGAAAAATGTCATTGTGTTGATGAGAATACGAACTCTAGTTTACCCCCTGGCTATCTGTGTAAGGGTATTGGTTCTCTGAAGGCCTCACCTTCTGTAAACATGACTTAGAAGCCACAGGGACCTGAGGAGGCCAATATGACACGTAATGAGATAATCTCAATAAAGTGTCTATCTGTTAACAGTGTGAACAGTATCCGATGCTTAGTGAGAACTAAAATCTTAGCTGTCCTAGTGACTATGTTGGGCCTTATATTCTACAAACTCATTAAGGTCAACTGTGGAGATGAGGCGAGAAAAGGCTGGAAGTTATCAATTACTGTGTGTTGTACACACAGTTGTACCCCCAAGGGCATCATCATCTGACCTCTATGCGTGAGCCATGATATGTACACACATAGTATACACGCACACATACAAAATTAAAGCTAAAACAAGGTTTTCATTTAGTTATATGGAAGTAAATTAATTATAGCTGCTAACATAAACAGGGACAATCCCGCACAGGTACATGTGTACATGCACATGCAAACCTCTTCTATCATTCCCTCCTTGAGACAGGGGCTCATACTGAACCTGGACCTCACAAATTCTGTGTGACTCACAGCCAGCAAACCCCAAGGACCCATCTGTCTCTGCTTTACCAGTGCTGAGGTTATGAGTATCCTGAAGGGCCCAGATTTTACAACCTCAACTACTCATGATTGGGTAGCAATTGCTTGATCAACTCAGCCATCCCCCTACCTCTGAACTCATGTGTCTGTGTGCATTCCAGTTACTACAAGAAAAGGGGATATGAACTGCACTTTCCTGGTCTTTCCCTGATCACCTGGACACTCCCTGAGGACACTTGTTAAATTAAATTAATGTGGGAAAATAGAGCCATGTGAGGCAGGCAAGAAAATACATCCCATAAGATAGTTATGTCTTGATACAACCCGTGACAGTTCAAGGTAGGGCAAGGACAGAATATGGCCATCGTGAATCATTTAATACTTAAGCCTAATGCTTCCCCTAATCTAACCTTTCTTTGAGTTCCATTTTCTCACTACTTCATCCCACAATTCCAGAGAATAGCTTACCACTTACCCAATACATGGATTGGTCTGGTATCTCGGTGCCGTGTAGGAGAAAGGAGAGATGTCCTTGTCTACAAAAGACCCGAAACCTAACCGGAAGTTACTAGTGAGCTTCCTCATTTCCTCAGCAAGCTTGGTGCCCAGGTTCCGAATGTTGTCCAAGTCATCCTTCATGGAGAGGGAGAGGTCCATCAGGTAGTACAGGTCTACAGGATAGTCCTCCACCTGGCGTACCTGCAGCTGGAAGGTAGTCTGATCACCTGTGCCAAGAGAGGTGGCCCTCATTAGAGGTCATGTGGCTTGCTGGTGTAAAAGATAGATTTTCATTTCAAAGATCTATTCCCACAGTGGAGTAGACACAGTGTAGAATGCTTGTCTGACCCAGGGCTTATCTGACTCAACAAAAAAATTAAAGCAATTCTTCTTCTTGGGTGATGATACATCACCAAAAAGCAAAATTTTCTGGGAAGTACAGTGTCTCAGAAGTGAATACAGTGCTGGAGCGGAACCCTGAGTGTCCTTCTCCAGACCCCTGTCAGTGTGTCTGAAGAAATGTAGTAGTGTTCTGTCTCTCAGCAAAAATATCCATGGGTAACTGTGAACACTGAACTACACATGCCCATGCAAACTGGGTTGAAAGTAGAAAGCAGTCCTCCAACACACTCAGAAAAACACCTAGTCCAGTGGAAGCAAAGGTATTAACAAGAGTGAGTGGCGATGAGTAAGAACTGGGGTTGGGGTGTAAATGTCAAGGCAGGGCAGGTAAGAAAGGAGGTAATAAAGACAGTAACTTGGGGCTGAAGAAAAGGCTCAGTGAGTAAGAACACTTGCTGTGCAGACATTATGACCTGAGTTCAAATCCCCAGTACCCACATAAAAAAACAGATGTGGCCTAGCACATTTGTAACACCAGCATTGTGGGAGACAGAAACAGGAAGATCACTGAAGTTTGCTGGGCTCTAGCCTAGGTCTAATGATAGGACTCTTGTTTTATCTGCACATGCAGATACGTGTGGCGTGAGCACACGCACACGCACACACACACACAAAACACAGACCTGAGACTAGAAAGGAGACATAGGAAGAAAGGGTCCAATGAAAGGGCCTAAAAGAAGGCAACGGTGGGGGCTGAAATTACCAACATTCATTAAATATATTTATAAAAGTGTCAAAGAATAGGCACATTTCTATATATGGATTATATACTGTATTTACCATTCAAAAAAAGAAAGGTGAGAAGAGAAAAGACTGTTAGCAATCTGTTAAACTCCACCTCCAGAGTCACCTGGCAACAGCCAGGTATGCTCCGCCCCACAGTTACCTGGCAACAGGCAGGCAACCCTGCCCACTATAAAAGGGGCTGCTTGGCCCCTCCTCTCTCTCTTGGCTTCTCAACCCAGCACCTGCAGGTTGTCTCCCCTCTCCCCTTCTCTTCCCCCTCTCTCCACGTGGTCATGGCCGGCCTCTACTCCTCTCTACTTCTCTCTCTCTCTCCTCTTGCTCTCCCACTCTCTTAATAAACCTCCCCTCGTGGAACCATCTTGGCCTGCTGTGATCTGTCCCAAGCTGCGCCGTGGAAATCCTTTCATAGACACTCCAAATTGTGACCAAATATAAAAAGAACGAAAGTGATTTGGCTTCTATAGCAGGTGTGGAAAGGGAGAATTAATTAAAGGGAGGGGTAAGAAGACCTGCTAGCTGATCCTGCCGCTCAGGGTTTGGAGAGAGACCCAAGTCAGGGCAGTAACTGAGAGAGAAAAATCCCTAAATTATGTCATCATTTCTAACCACAAATCACTAAGAACAGACTTCAAAGCTCTCACCAGGTAACACAGTGCACTGGCCGCCGGGGCTGCCAGATGTTCTGTTTGGCTTGGGGCAACACAGCTCTTGAACATCTAAAATTTGGGTATACTTTTTGTGTACTTAGAGATTCAAAAGCCAGAATGCACTTGCCACTACTCAAGGGGTCGAACTAAGTTGGCCAGGACCACAGCTCAGAGAAGTCCCCCCCCACAACACACATCCTGTGTGACCAGCTGCTCCTCCATAAGCAAAGTCCTGGTCCCTGCAAGACACAGAACCCAAGCCTCCATGCTCCCTCTCCTCCTCCCACTAGATACAAGCCAGACCAGGAGGGCAACCTGGACCTAGGTTACTTAAGTATGAGATGAAACAGTGGAGTTCTAGCATCTATGAGGCTGGGATGCACTCCTGGGGCACAAAGGAAGTATGAGGATTCCAATTCCCATCTGCAGTCAGGTGGCAAGCTGCTCTCCTGATTTGTTTTTACACACAATGTTCCTCAAGACTGATGTAGTTTGGGTCGCCCGTTGGTGTGAGCCTATTTTTAAAAACCACCAGAGTCTGACTCAGACAGAATAATATTCAAGATTTCGTCCAGAATGAATTCCAAACTGCTATAGTGTGTCTCCGGCTCCAATCTGGCAGACGCAGACGGTCCTTCCGTGGGACTCCTTGGACGGATGCCTATCATGGTGGGGGAGAGGTGGGGAGTAGGAAAGAACTTGGAAAAGCAAGGTTACTCCCGCCCTGTGTGCACCTTGCTTTGGCCTTTGCACAGGAAGATGGACCCCTAGATGGACAGAGCCTCTTCTGTTCAAGTCCATGACCTCTTCACAGGGTCTGCTGCGCTCTCTAACCCTGCCCACCCTTCAAGTTTCCTACTCCATCTTCTTCTATGCAGACTGCACTGCTATCTTACTGAGGTTTGCCAATAATTAAGAGATGGAGAAGTGGCTTGGATTCAGGGAAACTGAGCGGCAGCCATGAACAGAGCAGCAGCAGGCTTGGAAGCCGGAGAGTCAGATATAACCCCAGGCCTGGTCACCAAGAGCACGGCAGGCCCCCCGCCCCGGTTCCTTTCAACCTATGTAGCTTAGTTTCTGCTTCAGTGAAGTAAGAAGACATAATTACAGTGGGGATTAAAACCCATAATGTTCATAACTATCCATGCTCTCATACAAGGAAATCCTTGGTTCCAATGTTTCAAAGATTAAAAATTAAAGGTAATTTCAAATTAAAGCAATTCATGTGGGGATGAAAAACAGAAAATCCAGCCGGGCGGTGGTGGCGCACGCCTTTAATCCCAGCACTCGGGAGGCAGAGGCAGGCGGATTTCTGAGTTCGAGGCCAGCCTGGTCTACAGAGTGAGTTCCAGGACAGCCCGGGCTATACAGAGAAACCCTGTCTCGAAAAACCAAAAAAAAAAAAAAAAAAAAAAAAAAAAACAGAAAATCCTTGCAGAAATTCCCACTTAGCTGGGCTACGGCCTTAGGCATTCAAATTTAACTCCAGATCTTCCAGATATGAAGGCAAAGAAGGAAGTGGGGTACAATACACAGGTGCCTACGCTTTGTACTGACTGGGAAGTGGGCAGTGTCCTGACATTACATACCAAGAGAATCAGTTTGCAGAGAAGGCACATGCCAACATACACTTCTTCCCATGGGAAAGCAGCAAATATTAAAGGAAGCATTTCTCCCAGATCTCCAGAAAGGCAAGGTGTGAGAAGGAGCGCAGGCCCCATCCTGCTGAGTATCAGCCATTACACGTGAGCCTTTAAAATGTCACACTCTCCTACATGAGCTCGGGATCACGGAATGCCTTGTGTAAGCAGTTCCTGTGGGGGTGGACACTGCACCAGCAGCCCAGCAAGGGTGATCTCCCTGCTTTGCAGTTGGACATGGAGACTGGTGGCACCACAGCCACATGTGGAGCATGTTTTACCAGGACCGGGCATCTTTCCCATCTGTGGATGTGACTTTGCTCAGACAAACTCCTCCCTCCATGCTTCCCAGCAAGCTGCTGTCTTACACTGCCTGAGACCTTAACGGATGGCCTAAGCAGAGGACATAGACCTCACTGTCACCAACAGGGAGGTATGTGCCTATCTCTGGTGACAACATCCCTGACCCACATGCCTGGATTTATTACCCCCTACCCCCACCTCCCACCTCTCCCCACAACCCCTCAGACCCCCACACAGTCTCCCTCTCTACCTGGGAGCCCTACGTGTTTGTACATCTCTCTGGAGCTAATCCCCACCTCGGGTCCAGAAGTGCAATAAAGTTAACTACAAAGAGAAGCCGACCACCTGCACCTGAGAGAATGGAGCTGTCCCATGTGTCCCCCCCTCCCCCCACATACACACCGCAGCCCTGCCTCCAGCCCAACAACCCTCTCCTGCCCTGTTTCTCTGATTTCAAAGCACCCAGAGCTGCCTGTGTTTAGCACAGGGTTCCTGCCAGGGCTCCGCTCGTAAGGACAGAGTCACCCTCTATAATCAAGTACTAACTAGCCTCCGCGCCCGGAAGGTACTTTAACACTTTCTTTTCTCTGCCTTCCCTTTAATAAAGAAACTTCGTTTTTGTCGTTGGGAACAGGCATCAGTTGGCATGCACTGCCTGAGACTGAGAACAGAACTCCCAGACTGATGTTCACAAGTCAAGATAAGGCAGGATCCTAACAATAACGACTCCTGCCAACTTCAAATAAATGAATGAGGTAGGGTTGTGTGTGTGTGTGTGTGTGTGTGTGTGTCCAGAATGCATTGGATCTATCTTGTTTACTAGCAGGGTCTCTCTTGTTTCTGGAGCTTTGCCCATATAATCCTGGCTGCTGACCAGCAAACTTTTAAGCAATTGTCCTGCCTCCACCTCCCACCTCAGTACAGCGATGCTAGGGTTTCACAAGTACATCGCTGTGTCCCGATTTTTACGTGGTTTTCAAGGATCTCAGATCATCAGTAAAAGTTGTCCTCTGGCTGAGCGTGGTGGCGCAGCATCTTTAATTGAGCACTTGGGAGGCAAAGACAGTGGATCACTGTAGGTTCCAGGACAGCCAGGGCTACATAGAGACTCTGGTTCAAAAAACAGAAATAAGTATCCTCTGGGCTCCATACATACACCACGGCACATGTCTGTCTGTCTGTCTGTCTGTCTGTCTGTCTCTCTCTCTCTCTCTCTCTCACTCTCTCTCTCTCTCTCACACACACACACACACACACACACACACTAATATTTCTAAAAAGAAATATTTAAGAGCTAAAAAATTACATGAATAACTGAAAGACACCTGTTGAGCATCCCAGCACTTGAAAACTACCTCTTGCGTTTGCTTATCTCAGTTATCAGTTTTGCTTAAAATCCATATCCTAAAAATTTCATGCCTTTTGTTAAGATTTAAAAAAAAAGTCTTATCCTGACATACAGTTTCCAGTGGTGAAATAAAATGGAAAACATGATCTTTGTATTTATACAAAACCCTGCTTAAAGTTTGGCAGTTCTTCAGAAAGTTAAACACAGAATTACCATACAATCCAGCAATTCCACTCCTTGCTATAGACCCAAAACTATTGAAAACATATGGCCCACAAAATACTTGCACATGAATGTACAATATTACCCAGTGGAAACAGTCTGTCCATCAACCAAAGTGGGGCCTAAGGACACAGAGCATGGCCGGGGGGTTGGGGGGGGGGTGGTAGTGTCACAGCTTCCAGGTCAGCTGGAGCTACACGGTGATGCCCTGGTTCAAAACCACCAGGAAGGAGCACATTTTACAGTGTGGATGAATTAAGGCTCCCATGTTACATAGCAGCAGAAAGTGTCCGGTGAAGGCAACATCAGAGCAAAACTGCTTTAGGAGATGGAGGGCTGTTAGTTCAAGCTGCCGGTGTGACAACGGTCTGTAATAACACAGTCGTGATGGTTACATAGCTTAGAATCAGTGACCTGAACATCTTAAGATTGTGCAACTTGTTTTTTTTTTTTTTTTTTTTTGGTTTTTCGAGACAGGGTTTCTCTGTGTAGCCCTGGCTGTCCTGGAACTCACTCTGTAGACCAGGCTAGCCTTGAACTCTCGAACTCAGAAATCCACCTGCCTCTGCCTCCCAAGTGCTGGGATTAAAGGCGTGCGCCACCACCGCCCGGCCCGATTGTGCAACTTGTGACGTGTGATTTATATCTCAATTTGAAAAAAACAGTTTTAATCCTATTTAAGAACTAAGAAGGGCTGGAGAGATGGCTCAGTGACTAAGAGCATTGGCTGCCCTTCCAGAGGTCCTGAGTTCAATTCCCAGCACCTACATAGTGGATCACAACCATCTGTGTAATGGGATCCAATGTCCTCTTCTAGTGTGTCTGAAGACTGGCAGTGTACACACATACATTAAGTAAATAAATAAATAAATAAATAAATCTTAAAAACAAAAAACAAAAAACTAAGAAGGGCTGCAAGTAAAATGGCTCAGAGGATACCAGTTCTTCCTCACAGCCTGAGGGGGCTCAAGTTTGATCTCAGGCTCCACACGGTGGAAAGAGAAAGATTATTCACAAAAAAGTTGTGCACATATACACAATAAAATGTAATAAAAAATTATTTTAATGGAACGGGGGCTGAAGAGATGGCTCAATGGTTAGGAATACTGGCTGCTCTTCCAAAGGTCCTAGGTTTGATTCCCAGCACCCACATGGTGTCTGAAAGCTCCTGTAACTTCAGGGGATCCAATGCCCTAGTTTGGCTTCTGCAGGCATCAGGCATGCGTGTGGTGTATAGACATACATGTAAGCAAGCATTTACACATATAAGATAACATAAATTTGTTGTTGTTGTTGTTGATGATGATGATGACAATGATAGGCCAGAGAGATGGCTCAGAGGATACCAGCACTGTCTTACAGCCTGAGAGCTCTCAGAGGATTCAAACACTGCCTCACAGAGTTAGCTGAAAAGATAACCTGAGTTTGGTCCCTGGATTCGTATGGTGGAAGCAGGAAACAGACTCCCACAAGTTGTTCTCTGACCTCCACACATGTGTGCACGCTGCACACAGACGGATGGACGGACGGTTTGACACAGGGCCTCACTATGTAGCCCCTGGCTGGCCTGGAACTCCCAATGTAGAACATGTTATCCTTGAACTCATAGATATCACCTTGCCTCTGCTCCCAAGTGGTGGGCTAAGGGTGTTTGCCACCATGACAGGCAAATAAATGTAACTTTTCACGGCTGAGCCATCTCTGCAGACCAACAAGTAATTAAAAAATTAAATTTAAGACTAAGTTAGGACGTCCTTATCATTTTCATCTCTCTCCCCCTTACCATGCAGCCTGTTTTGTTTTTTTTTCTTCAACAGCTGTACCCTGGGATAGTACCTGGCCTTCATGGGTGCCTTTCAAGTTATGCTGAGGCTTGTCCCTGGCTAGTCGGTGTACGATTCCCTCGCACTCAACAAATGCTTATTATGAGGTGAGGCGGGCAGGGCTGGGGAGAAAACCAGAAGGCAGTGCTACAACTATACAATAGAAAGCTACTCCTACATTCCTGACAGCTTTCCCCAGGGCAGGAGAGCTTCCTGCAGGCAAGAATACACTTGGTAACCTGAGATTTATGCTAAGCAAAACATCCCCTCTTCCCCCCCATAAGAGGGTTTTGCACACACACGCACACACACACATATACACATACACACACATATATATATATATATATATACACACATGCATATATATACACACATGTACATACATATATATACATGTATATACATATATACACATATATGTATATATTAAAACTGTTCTTTCAAAATTTCAAAAGCTATTAATTATTGTTTAAAAATTTCTCTCACTAAAAATATGCTCACACTGATTCTAGAACTTTCCTGGGATGGCCGCCCCCTTTATCACCTACTGCTCCCTCAGGCCTGCCAGGGCACTCACTGGATAACACAAAATACCTTTCTTTCTTTCTTTCTTTCTTTCTTTCTTTCTTTCTTTCTTTCTT